AAATGAACCACCAAAGTAACCTTCGCCAGCGATCCTGTTATCATTCGCTATGCAGACAAACCCCTGCGGGTAGCCTTCGACTATCGCCGAGCCAACAACTGCATGGCCTGGGACCCATATCCCTTTCCCATCATGCTCGACATCCTGAACTGGATCGTCACAGTCCCATTCCGATACATATTGGGAGGTGATGCAAACAAAGGATTTTACCAAATTGCCATCACCGATGCGTCGGTACACAAATGGCTCGCGATCAGACTCCATGACGGCATCTATGAACCACTCTTTATGCCCTTCGGACCCAAGACTGCCCCTTCGCACTTCTGTCAGGTGATGGACGACACCTTGGGTCCCTCCAAATGGCGAAATATCAACAACTTTGTCGACGATATCCACACACGAGCGGAGACAGCCGCGGAAGCCCTAGATGCCATCGCGGACTGGCTCGACTGCTTTTCCAGAGCCAAACTCACCCTAAGACTCGACAAGTGTCAATGGCTCTTTCACCAGCTCACGGCTCTCGGTTTCGTTGCCTCCTCTCAGGGTCTCGCTACCGATCCAGACAAGGTCGCAACCATAGTCGATTGGCCATGACCCAAATTCATAGGTGACCTATGGTCCTTCATGGGTCTCCTAGGGTTCTACGCCCAATTCATCCCCCGCTACGTGGAACTCATCCGACCCCTGCAAGACGCTATCCAAGAGGGTGTTCGTGAATACCAAGACCTTAAAAAGGGTCGCGCTGACCTAAAGAAAGGCGCTGAAAAGCTCAATTCACCATCCATGCTCGACATGGCGGTGGCCCCTACAATCACAGCCACTGGAGCCCGATTTGAGGTTTCACAACATCCAAAATCTAGCTCCTCAGACCTACCGGCAGTCAATCTACGCCAATCATCATTGGTGGACTTGCCCATTGACCCCTTTTGTGTCGGACGCCTTGCTCGCAAGTGCCCCGACCAAGGTCTGCGCAGATTTATCGCGAAGCGTGAAGTTTCATGGACCGATTCCTGAAACTCTGCCTTCGCAGCTGCCAAGCAGGCTCTGACAACAGCTCCAGTGCTTGCGGCACCCAGAAAAGGGTTCCCCTACACCCTTCACAGTGACGCTTCCTACACAGCGTTTAATGTCACGCTCGAACAGTTACAGCCGGATGCTTCTAAATGCCCGCTGTGCTACCATTCCCGAGGCACCACCACCTCGGAAAAGAAGGCCCCCCCTGTCGAACTCGAGGCCGGATGCCTCATTTGGGGCCTCGGAAAACTCCACCCATACCTCGAAGGCCTGCCTTTCACGGTCATTACTGATCACCGAGCTCTTTTGTGGCTCGCTAAATACAAAGGCGAGAACCGTAAGCTTCTCCGCTGGGCCCTCGATCTTAGTTACTGGTCCGAATGGATGACAATCGTTCACAAACCAGGACGTTTTCACATTGTCGCTGATACACTTTCACGGCTACTAGGAGCGGAAACCCTACTCTGCTCCACCGCGACCCAAATATGGGTGTCGAAACGCGGAAGACGACGGCTGCGCACCACACCAGCTGCTCTCGCACCTTCCTCGACACTGGCAGATGCCGTCTTTCGTCTGGCCTTACAGCCTGCACTCATTGCCGCCATCCGCGCTGGCCTCACCGGCCAGCTCCACCCCATAGCCCAACAGGCCCCGCACGCTCCTATGGGAGACCAGCCCCAACACCTACACTACAGCCGATGCGCACTTTCTTCAGGACTGGCAATGTGCAGATAACCTGCTGTGGCACCGTTTTTCAGTCTCCGAAGACCTTTGGTGCCTCTACGTGCCCCCTGCTTGCACCCCCAAGGTGCGCAAGCTTTTTCACGAGGGGGGAGGACACTTCGGATTCGAAAGAACCTACGCCAGAGCCACAGCACAAGTCTGGTGGCCAAAGATGGCACAAGATTTCAGAAAACATTGCGCAGGATGTGAAACCTGCCAACGCTCAAAAAGGGTACCGCAACTGATTCCGGGGTTGTTGAAACCCATACCACC